TTAGCAAGCACTGCAGCGCAGGTAGGAAGGGCACTTAGGGTACCAAATGAATACTTCCTGAAATGGAGGAATGCTTATACTCAGCTGTTTGAATACATAATCAGGCCTAATGTGACCTTCACCAGGACAAGCAGTATGAACATGGCTGCATGCCTGGATGGATGGATGAATAGATAGATAATCAGGCCTGATTTTAGCCCTAACCATCAAAGTGTCAGCATGCTGGCTTTAAAGGGACACTGTGTCTTACAGACATCTGGGAAAGTATTTGGTTATCATTCTGTTACCCAGATATTTCTTTGGCTTCAGTGTTCAATAATCATTCAAACCCCGAACATGCAAGCACTCAAAAAGGGAGAAGTGAGGCTTTGAATATGTTTGTCTTATTGTTTATTTTGTCTTTATTATTTTATGTTAATTTGTATTTGTGTTTTTTCAATTTGTGTTTATCATTGGTTGGAAGGATACACAGAGTAAGATTATCCTTGTATAGTGTAACTGACTGTTTCCTGTGCATTTGACAATAAACTCTTGAATTGTGCTCTGTCACTTACTGCCTGGTTTGATCTGATGAAAAATGATTTAAAGCAGTCAGAGAGTCACAGAATATGATAATACCACCCACCGTAAGCTTCAAAGCCCAGTTTCTCTATTTCTCCCTTTAGTATTCGATTTATTTTTGTTACATTTTGTAATAATATATTTTGCATAATCATTCCCACTCTATGGGTGTGGAGTTTGCATATTTTCCCATATTGCGTGGATTTCCTCCAGGACTCCAGTTTCCTCCCATAGTCCAAAGACTTGTGAGAATTGGTGTCTTTAATTTTCCCAAACGGTGTGATTGTGTGTGTGTGTGTGTGTGAATGACTGACATCCTATCCAGGGTGTTCCCTGTGCTGCCTGGGGTTGGCTCCAGGTCTCCATGGCCCTGCACTGGGAATGCAAGTGGCTGTAAGATGGATGGATGGAAAGAGAGAAAAGAGTGTTTGGAGTGCGGGTGGAGGGTGTTAAATCCCACTGGGTGACATCACCCTCTGTAACTGTAGCTTTTTTTTAGGACACTGACCCATTGTGCCTCCAGTAGTCCTGAGGCTGTGTACCAGCTCTGCTTTGTACTTCCTCACAGCATTTTTAATATACAGCATATATAAATGTTTCTGTTGGCAGCTTTTACACACTTCCATAACTGCCAAATAGCACTCTGGAGCTTCCCTTTTTTGCTGAATGTCTGCAGTGACATTCTCTGCCAGCTTTCTCACACCTTTATTGTAAATGAGAATAGGTTCCCAGTTAAAATTCTTTATTAAATAAATATGTAAATGTATTGTCCCAAAGTACAGTCTCCTGATATTACTGGCATGTCTGAGGTGTCTTACTTTAATAACTGGATAAACTTAACACGCGGCCTGCTGGAACGCTGTCTGACAAATCTGTATATTATTTAAGTCTAGCCACCAGAAAAATAGCAGGTACTTCTGTTTTACGCTGGAGAACAAAACTTAAATTACTTTGATAAATATTTAGCTATGAGGACAGATAAAGTGAAGAAAAACTCATAGGCTTTACAGGCTGCAAGCTATGAACACATTTATTGAACAAATAAGAAACAGGTGGCTGCTGTTTCTTCCCACTGGGTTATATCTATATCCTCTTCCCTGGTCTCATGTCCCCACTTGTCTCAGGTTTCCACTTGAAACCTCCTTTATCACCAGGAAACATGGTTATTCAGTTGAAGGTACTTCACTTTCAAAGTTTATAGTTATACATATACATACTATTACAGCACTGTGTTAACAACCAGGCTTAAGTGTTAACTCCAAATATTAACTCCAAACTCTGAAAGAGACCTTTAATTTCATCAATTAATGTTGCATTAACGTCCAGGATGGCCCAAATTTGACAGGCGTCTCCCTAAAACCCTGAATAGTAGAGGGTATGGTGCACCATGACATGGAATTTCATGATTCTTGGTCATATGTAATTATAGCCTACTGAAATTTGATTAACAATTGTCATCCCTGTTTGATGAGTTGATGATCATAATGAAATGATTAGTTGGGACATCTATTCTGTGTCCAAAGGGTTTCAGTTGTAAGCTATTCTGAGTTATAGTAACGCCTATTGGGTGATTATCACAAAATTTGGGGAATGGCTTCATTATGTCGTACCAAATAGACTTAGCAAGTTTAGTGAGAATCTTATGTTCTGTTGATGAGAAATCGGTCATTAAGTGCAAAAAGGCCGTGCCCAAGAAATTCATTGGTTTGTACCATCTGAACAACTTGCCTGATCAAAATCCTAGACAAGTTTTCGTCTACATGGTCTCAAGATGCTACACTTCAAATTTCGTGTGAATCAGAAGAACAGTCTAGAATGAGTTCGAAAAAGCAGATTTTTCACATTATGGAAATTAGCAAACAATCTAAGTAGGTTAAGGTTCATAGTTTCATTGATGTATTTTTTGGGATGAGCCAGGGAATGTCTGGGGAAAAAAAGAGTTTAGTTTCTATGGCTTATGGTTCTGAAGATATAGGCCAAAACATTAAACATTGCACTATAGTGCCAATATTGGGTTCATGGGTATGATTTTGCTTGCCTGAGTAGTGGGGGGAATTCTGCACCACTCCACCTAAAATACTAGCAAATACAATAGAGTTTCAGCACTGCATGCTTGGACCCCTAATAAAAAATACCTTGTGCATACAGTAGCTAAGCAAAGGGAAACCTTTCCAAAACTTTACATCATGCATACCTTATGCTTTCAAAGCCCGTCAGTTCTGACCAGTGGCACGCCATGGTTTTTTACGTAGGCTTTCCAGCAGATACACTGTGCTGTACAAAGAAAGCTAATCAGACAGTAAATGTTCCTGTTTAGCTATTACTGTAAGCAGTGCTATTTATAGAATGCGATAGCTAAGTAATATATGCAAACCTCCACACTCATTAGTCACCCAACTGTGCCTCATCTGCTTTCTTAGCCTCCAGAAATAGCTGTTTCTGTTATTATCTCTTTATCTCCAGTTTTAGACTGTCAGTTTTAATTGACGTCACCCCCGTATTAAATCTAAAGCGCCTGACAGATAGAGATGGGTGATCTGGTTCATTAATAACAGCAGCCAGTACCGGTCAGCGGTGCACGCTTTGCTGCAAGTTCCTGCACTGGCGTCTCATAAGCACAGTCTTTCATGTAGCAGTGCAGGTCTGCACCGATAGAATGCGGCTAAATGGCTCCCTGTGACTTGCATCATGTGCTCGAAGTTGATGCCCCCATTGCTTATCATGCCAGCTCCCAGCACAGTAAACCCATCACATTGTCCGCTGTGCCTTTTGGCTGCTGCAGACAGCACTTTTTGCCATTTTTTCCTTCCTGCCTACTTCTCTTGCTTTCTCTTCCCCTGTTCAAGCCTTTGTTCTTCGTCATCCCTGTTCCTTCTGGAATTTCTGCCTTCTATATGTGGATGAACTTTGTGTTTTTTGGACATAAATAATGGGATTTTTAAATACAATAGCAGCTAAGTAAATGTAAGTCAGGTTTTTAATTTAGTGTCAGCCAAGATATCCCTGAAAGTGCCATGTAAGAGATTTTATGATATTGGTCTAGTTCTCTGAGGGGCAGGGGGTTGGTGAATCACATATGAACACCTTGAAAGACAGAATGAGTCTGTCTTGCATCATGCACTATTCTGGGCTCTGGCCCTTTGTGACCAGGGAGAGACTGCCTGTCCCCTCTTGAGTGAGAAACGTGTTCTCCTAGCCTTGGTGTGTTCCAATCCCAGCATGCAACTGCCTGGGCAATCTGCTTCGCAATCGCAGCCTCCCCCTCTCGCTCTACCATGCCACCATCTGTTGCAGCAGCATGCCTTTCACCCCCCCCCCCCCCTCACCTCCCTCACCTCCTCATGCAACCGCACCATCATTCCTGCTGAAAATCAGAATGTTATCCTTCCAAAGAACAGGATCTGGTGTGGGGCAGCTGCATCACTTGGGCTTCAAGACAATTGGGAAAAAATTATCTATCAATGATCTTCAGTGGAATTTACCCACTGTGCCTTAGAGACCCACTTTGTCTTTGCCTTTGAGTAAAATGAGGTTTCTGTGGGGAACACACGTTGTTGGAATGCAACAGGTGACGTAGCCTGTTTACTCAAATCTAAGTAATGGTCACCTTTCCCTGTTTACTGAGAAAACTGAACAGCAGCCCTTATGTCTGAAGAGAGAAAGAATCAGTGTGTTACTCAAGGATAACACCAGCACAGGGAGATAAGAACACTGCCAGAAACAGTGTCTGTTCTGCTGCTTTAATGTAAGACCAGGTATGGAGCTGGAGAGTAGATAATAGTGTGGCAGGTTTTTATGGCTTGTGACAGATGGAAAACACAAAGACAGTGTGTTTCTCACGGCTTCCTCTCAACACAAGCCTTGAGTAAGAAGTTCAGGACTGAACGACTGCTTTGGGCAACTTGACACTGGAAAGGAGTGCAGAGTGGATGTGTGTTGTCTGTAAGCAGACTCCTTTCTTCTAGAGTGAATGTGTGTCCCTTTGCTTAGAAGTGATTCATTATTGTCACAGGTTTGATTCTGTGAACATGGTTTTTCCACAGGCATCACACACGTGGTCACACAGAGCATAAAGGCCATTGCCTAGTTCACATCTCATGACTGGTGACTACTCCCAGCAACACATTCAGGTGTCAGGGTTTCGCTGCAATGTGTGCTTCCTTCAAAATAGCGTCAGTAAAAACTGCCAGAAATCAATGAGTAACGCTACTATATAGACAACACTGCACGTATACATATGAAAAATAAAATTAAAGCAAATGGAATATTTTGCTAAACAGTTTGTATGGAACATCGGTAAGAAGCCACAGTTGAAATGTTACAGACAAAGGGAGACATCAACGGACCCAGAAGAAATATTGTACAGTGCTGAAACACATTTTTTGACGTATACTAATCTATAACTGATTCAAATCTGACTCCTGGTTTCCTTTTTGCAGCTAATTACCAGTGACGCTGATGGAGCCATACAACGGGCAGGTCGGTTCCGTGTGGAGAATGGGTCCTCCGAAGAGGTAAGTACCACATATCAAAATAAAACTGGTTAGTGGATAAGAAGTTTTGGTTCCTCTGTGTCAGGACAAGGGTCCTGTTTTCTTAAGATATCAAAGCTGGAGAACTCGTGGATATATAATTATATGGCTAAAAATCAGGGTTGTTGCAATGAATGCAAGAATATTCCACCTGGGAGGAATAACAACACAATGTCAGATTTTTCTGAATAACATATAATGTATGTTGAGGCCGTTTATGAATGACCGTATCATCATAGTACAGTATATTTCACTATTATGCAAAAAGGCTTGATTGGCAAAGGCACTATATAAAATACATTTGGTTTCATGGAGGGGTCATTGTGTACCTTTGATGTTCTTTGGCTCCCAAATGATCAAGAGCAGCACTGAAAGCCTTAACCAATGCAGAAATGCAAACTCACTTCTTTCACAGAATCATGTGCCATACATCATAATCAAACACCTCTGTCTCTCCTACCTGCCCCCTCAAACAGAGAATCAAAGTGCCAGTGAAAGCAGTAGACGCCCCTGGCATTAATCCGCTTGTTTTTCAATATGTGCTGAGCTCTTTATGAGTCACCTTCCCACACGATTCAAGACACTCTCTCAGACAACAGACACATGATAGCACTTGGTAAATTAGGAATAGTTGCTCCTGCTGGGATGAGTTTTTTTTTTTGCTGGACTGAGTACATGAATTCTTAGATTTTTTTAACCATTGTTCCTTTGATGAGTTCATGGCATTTATCTTAAAAAGAACAATGAATTAAACAGTGCTGACAGAATTAAGTTCAGAGCTACTGTATCTGAGTAAAGAATTTGGCAGCTTTGTTGTGGAAGACAGCAAAGTCTACATGCCGTTTAAAATTTAGAAACTTTTTAGTCATTCTGCATTAGATTATTATTTTTCTTTATGTGAAGTTTAAAAGCCAGCACATTCAGAAAATGTACACTCACCTAAAGGATTATTAGGAACACCTGTTCAATTTCTCATTAATGCAATTATCTAATCAACCAATCACATGGCAGTTGCTTCAATGCATTTAGGGGTGTGGTCCTGGTCAAGACAATCTCCTGAACTCCAAACTGAATGTCAGAATGGGAAAGAAAGGTGATTTAAGCAATTTTGAGCGTGGCATGGTTTTTGGTGCCAGACGGGCCGGTCTGAGTATTTCACAATCTGCTCAGTTACTGGGATTTTCACGCACAACCATTTCTAGGGTTTACAAAGAATGGTGTGCAAAGGGAAAAACATCCAGTATGCGGCAGTCCTGTGGGCGAAAATGCCTTGTTGATGCTAGAGGTCAGAGGAGAATGGGCCGACTGATTCAAGCTGATAGAAGAGCAACTTTGACTGAAATAACCACTCGTTACAACCGAGGTATGCAGCAAAGCATTTGTGAAGCCACAACACGCACAACCTTGAAGCGGATGGGCTACAATAGCAGAAGACCCCACCGGGTACCACTCCTCTGATGGCTACTTCCAGCAGGATAATGCACCATGTCACAAAGCTTGAATCATTTCAAATTGGTTTCTTGAACATGACAATGAGTTCACTGTACTAAAATGCCCCCCACAGTCACCAGATCTCAACCCAATAGAGCATCTTTGGGATGTGGTGGAACGGGAGCTTCGTGCCCTGGATGTGCATCCCACAAATCTCCATCAACTGCAAGATGCTATCCTATCAATATGGGCCAACATTTCTAAAGAATGCTTTCAGCACCTTGTTGAATCAATGCCACGTAGAATTAAGGCAGTTCTGAAGGCGAAAAGGGGTCAAACACCGTATTAGTATGGTGTTCCTAATAATCCTTTAGGTGAGTGTATAGAAAAGATTGAATTAAGAGACCTGGGTTGGGGAGTAAGCTCCTATAATGTGTCACTAGGCCAGAGTAAAGGCAGCTCATCTAGTCTTTTCAAGGTGGAGCCTCTTGAATTACATTAGGCAGCCTGTCAGTGGTGTTCTTGAACTTTGAGTGAGCTTGAAGAGAATTCTATAGAGGAATAGACAAATGTTCCCACATCTATGGGTGTTGTGCTGGTGGCTGAGTACTCCAAAAGGCCTTAGCTGTATCTGAGCAAAATGTGTTTAATTTTTTTTCTTTTCCTTTATACCTCAAGGGCTTTGGAGATAAGTGGCAGATGATCTTTAAGACAGCAGCTAAGCCACTCTCACCACTGAGAGCAAATGTTTGATAGTCCAGCTGGTGTTAGTTGAGCTGAATCTGTTCAGCCTTGCGCAAAGGAGATTAAGGGGGGACATGATCCAGGTATATAAGATTCTAACAGACAGGTGGAAATTAGCGGGAGAACATTTTAAACTGAATTTGAGAAAACACTTCTTTACACAGCGTGTAGTTTGAGTATGGAATCTTCCTGCTAGTGTAGTGCAAGCTAAAACCCTGGGTTCCTTTAAATCAGAGCTAGATAAGATTTTAACAACTCTGAGATATTAGTTACGTTCTCCCCAAACGAGCTCTTCCCGTTTGTAAATTTCTTATGTTCTTATGGTGTGAATACAGTGCGTAGGTTATTCTCGAGAGCTCTACGGTGTTTTATCACTGATTAATTAATTCGCACGTAGGAGCCTTTTAAGTCAAGGGTCTAATGTACAAACGCACTGTTGCTTTGATTTCACCATCCATCCCAGCAGCATGTTGTCATAACTAGTGCCCTAATTTAGTAGCAACACTTAAAACAATTACAATTTTCTTTATATTTAGAATCCTAAGTGGGACATGAATAGTCTTAATTAGTGACAGCTTGGTATAATTTAGATGTACAGTCAAACCTTCCTTTTCCGGACCTCCAATATATGGGCACCTCCCGCTACCGGGCAGTTCTAGGCAAGCGCATGCGCAAGTTAATTTTACACACACCTGCTGCTGTTGAAAAAAAAAACGTTTAAAAAATGGCGGAGGCGGACACAACAGAGTCTTGTTTTAATCCTGCCAGAATTTGACGATAATTAGCTGAAATTAGGTCGGAGAGACACTGATGTATTATGTGACGTTGTGTAGTTTTTGGATTATTTTATGCAATTATTCAGATTACTTAACGCAAATTCTTCATTCAGTGGTGTAGTGGAGGGTAAATGCACATAACCGCCATTTACGCACCTTTTAAATTTACAAAACAGCTTTTACTCAACTTTTTTGAGATCACTAATGTTAAGGATATAAATATAGTTACCCACCGTTTTTACTGCTGTACATAGTTTACCCACATTAAATTTCTTGTTACCACTACACCACTGCTTAATTTCTTTATGATAGAAATTTATGGTAATATCAAATGTTGTAGTAAGACCAATTTTTGAAGGTCTCGATCTTGTCTTTGAATATTTGTACTCGTTCTTGTCATGGACTCGGGATTTTATTTCGAGACCACAACTCTGAGAATATTCTTATCAATGAGCCGTTTACTGTCGTATTAGATAACAAATAACTTAAATTGCAACCAATGGCGTTACTGCCGACCGCATTACCCGCCCCGTCCCTTCACACACAACCATGTGGCCCAATCCCAAACTATACCCTCGACACTCCGCCTTCATTTCGAGTCACACTCCCGCCGAGTCACCCTCACAACACGCCCTATACACTTAAACTGAAGGAAATTGTCACAAGAAAGATTTGAGACAGACTTGCCCTCGCAGCGCCTTTTTACAGTCTTCATTACCGGAAAGAGGAAATGCATTACGTAGTGATTTGACGAAATGGATCCATCAAGAAGCTGTATTGTATTTTCTTTAATGACATATCAGTTATTTTAAAAAAGCACAGTTTATCTAATGCGAGAAGACGACGGCTACGTCGTCTTATTGCACTGAGCAATTTTAAGTATGTACATGTGTCATATTGACGATTGTACAATTTCTACCATAGCTAACTTAGTTTACACGCATAAAACATTACGCATTACTTCTGTACCAAATACCAGATCCAGATATGTAGAGGAAAAAACAGGCAAATATGAAACATAAATTGTTATTGCTGGTGTGATGTTGATCGAGTTTGCGTACGAATGTTTCTAGTTTGAAAAGTACACAAAATCTCTCGTAATCGGATCACGATAAAATCTACCTGTACTGACCAGCTATAAATAACTGCTTTCCTAATTTTTTTCTGCAGCGATGAATTATAACATGTAACATAGACTTTCTATGTGTATTTCACTCAATCACTGTGCTGTTAGAATCCAATTATTAAATTATCGCGCTGTTCTGTTTCCTGTGCGCTAGGAATTATGGGATATGGAAGTGGTAGTGAAATCGCGCGAGCCACCATCGTTGCCGACTCGCTAAAGGAGGGCATAATCGACCACTCCCCCTTAGCCCTTGCTGCTTTGAGACACACTTCAACATGGCGACGGGTCTCGGGAACGCGCAAACGAAGGCGGAGTGGTGAGGCGGAGTGGTGAGGCGGAGTGTGTAGGGACCGGTTTGGGATTGGGCCGTGTTTAAATGAACGCAGGGGAAGTCGTGGTTGTCAACACAATCAGCTATTATGTGGCTACAAATGTGGCTACATGTACCACAACGTGTTTACCCTACCATTCTATTAGGGGGGCGCCCCAAGGTAATTTTATTTTATATATAGCGCAAGAACCTCAACAGAGGTCATTTAAGGCTACCTTTCCTGTAGAACATGTTTATATCTTGTCCTTTTATTAAACAAATTAAATAGCCTTATGTTATTTATCTTATGTACAGTTCATCACTGTATTATGCTGAAACAACCGGACACGCTTTAAAACGAAATTTGCCGCCTGCCGTTCATGGGTTTTTCGTCACCAATCGTCTTATTTGCGTCGCTCAGTCACAAAAGTCTATGGCGTTTCACGAGAGTGCAAGCCGGCGAATTTTTAGCGTAAAATGCGGAAAAGGCTTTTTCTCCGCAATAAATGTTTACTTTGTCCGCAATAAATGCAGACACAGTCGCTTGTGTGCTCTCTCCCCCTGTCACATATGTGTATCAACATTAAATAACAGACAATTATTTAATAACATTCTTAGTAGCAGCAGCGGTAGTCTGTGCTTTTACATTAAAAAACTGGAGTACTGAATACAATATCTAAAGCACCATGCTTTAGATTTTGTGCATTTCATTACATTCATTCAGCTGCTACAATTTATTTTTCCCATATACTCTTAATGTAGTGTAACCCTATTTGTCCCGTGCACTTATCTGTCGACCGGACTGCGTCCTCCCTCTTTGGCGCGTTTACGGCCACTCTGCGTTGTGTATTTTTTACTGGAGACGAAGGGACAACCAGGCACACGGGAGCGTTCGCTTTCTTGTTGGTCCGCTGCCTCTGCAGTTTATTTCTTGTGCAGAACACATGAACACTGAGCAAGGAGCACTGCATAACCTAATATAATTACTAATTGCATCTAATTACAATTAGATGATAGACGCCATCTAGTACCTGGGGGGTGGAACTACACCCTACAGTAGCATACATTCGTTTTTTATGCGTTGCTGGAAACAACCTTTGTACAAAGACAGACTGGGTTATTAAAAATTGCTGGAAATCAAATTGCCCCCCCCCCCCGATTAATCGAAAAAGTAATCGACAGATTAATCGATTATCAAAATAATCATTAGTTGCAGCCCTACTAGGCTACTGTTTTTATTAACACGCCACGAACTCAGAACAAACAAACCCGGTGCAAAACGACTCAGGAGTGACTATAGCGAAAACATTAGACAAAACCCAGCTTCCGCATGCAACCCAAAGCTAACTTACCGAAGGGCATAGAAAACAAAAACAAAACAACAAATTCTACAGCTTATCCATCAAAGAAAAGCAAATCAACAACAACAATCAATAAGTGAGCAAAACTCCCGAGACGTCTTACGGTCGGCTTTTCACTTCGGAAGACGGAAGTGACGAATTCCGCATACAGACAGTTGTGGGCGGAGTCTGCACGTGGCGGCGGAGCGAACGTGGAATGGAGAGCGAGCTAGAGGACGAGGCTGTGGGCGGAGCTGAATTTACAGCGGCGCGTAAAACTGCAAAATCCATGGCTTCAAAAAGGAAGCGTAGTGTTATGTCCCTCCAAAAGAATTTCGATATCATTACACAGATACGAAAAGGAAAATCACACAGAGTTGTTGCAGACCATTTTGGAGTGGCTAAGTGTATGGTAGGTGATATTTGGAAGAGTAAAGAAAAAATCCAGCTCACTTGATGCTGGTTAAAAACTGGATGACCACTGCAAGAATAAAACGGGTGGATTCGCTAGCTCAAACTCAAATAACATCGTATTTTAAGCCGTGCACCTCATAAATATCATGTAAAATGTATGTGTACACATGTACATGTACGTTGTACTCAGGGGCGTCAGAAGCATTTTGAATGGGGGGGGGGACACACTGGCATAAAACTAATATTTTATGTTTAACGTGGGGGGGTCCAAACATGGGCGTAATTTCCAGGGGGGTTAGGGGGGTCATGACCCCCCCCCCCCCCAATAATCAGATCCAGCCAATATAACCCCCCCAATAATCATATTTCCCCTGTAATGGGTGGAGACCTCGACCCCCCAATGTTCCAGCCAAAGTTACGCCCTTGGGTCCAAACGAATAATTATGAAATGTGAGGGGGACACGTCCCCCCGATTTAATGGCGGCGACGTCCATAGTTGTACTGTACAGTTGATGTATTTCTAGGTTACGGGCATTTCTTACTTATGGGCTCCCCTCAGTCCCATTCTGCCCGGATAAGGGAGGTTTGACTGTAGTGACATTTTTATAAAATGTGCAAATAAGATAGCAGTCTTTTAAGACTGTGTGTGTGTTCTATGCCTGACTGTATTTTAAACCTGATTATAGAGCCTCTTATGGTGAGAAATCTCCATTACTCAAACTGGAATAAAATAACATGCCAACGTTGTTACCCAATGTACCTAAGAATGGATGGTATGCAAACCAGCACTGGGCCACTTCATGATGAACAAAGTCTGAAATGCACCTGTATATTCGCAGGCACTGGTGCTATTGCTTTCCTCCCTCTCTACATGTTACTCCTTTGCATTTAACGTGCCTCCACCTCTCTCTATAGATGAGAAGGAAAGCAGAGATCTGCAAGGCGGGCGTGTCAGGGGTATACATCCCTGAGCTTCAGGTGGAGAATCTCTTTAAACTCTCACCGTCCGTATTTATAACTCATTTACACAATCACTTTTTGTTAAGGCCTTATTTAACATTGGCTTACTTGTACAGTCTTGTAATAAAGTCCTGGCACAGAAGACACTGAAGTTTAATCATGTGGATGACAAAAGCAGTGCAGTTTTAATTTTGCATTCCAAACTGAAATGAAATAAACAACGGGTGTCTATTTGGGTGCCTTAATAATAATGATGGTGGTGGTGGGGGGGGGGGGTGTTACAGATCTCTGTAAGGAAATTAGTAAGTTACAGAAGCTCACATTCAGACAGCAGAAACAGAAATATCCATAGGAAAGACAGTGCAGTGCCTACATATAGAAATAAAGGATTAAATGAATTAAGAAAATGAACTGATGTGAATAAATGTACAGATGTGCAAGCATGGAAAGGTAGAGAAGTATGAAGGAACAGAAATGTACAAAAAGCTGTGCAAAAATGCAAAAAACTGGCCTCCATTAATTTTTTTATTTTTTTTTATATTCTTCTTTTTATTGGTGCTCTAGAATACAAACTATACTCCTGGAACATGGAGAAGGACAGATGTCCATCTGGAGAACCCCGAGTACCATACCAGGTGGTTCTTCAAATACTTCCTAGGAAAAGGTGGGCCTGATAATTTGACATCCATATCTCCACTGGGAGCACACTGAGCTGATCTTTGGAAAGCAGACCTGATTTTTGCAAAAAAAAAAAAAAAAGTATTTGAAAATGAAAATGGTTTCTAAATTAAGTGACTAAATATTCTACTGCATTTATTGATAGTTTGTGTGTGCGTGTTTTTTTTTTTTTTTAGTCCATCAGAACTATGTGGGCACGGACACTGAGAAGAACCCATTTTTCCTGTCTGTGGTCCTGTCTGACCAGAACAGTCAACAGGTACCTCAGTACCGGGCCATCTTATGGAGGAAATCAGTGAGTACCCTGGGGGGTGATATGGATCTGGCTTTTGGGAAGGAGGGACAATGAAAACTTGAAAAGGAGCTAGAAATCAAACAGAGAAAGAGAGTATTAGTGTTTTCAAAGGCTTTGTTTCATTGCATCTGAATTGTCCCTTCTATTTCAGTGTCTTAGGTCTGGTGGGTTTATTCTTGGTCTTAGAGGATCACAGGGGATTACGGCAGCTGCTGTCCCTTATTGTCTTTCAGTTGTCACTCCTTTGTTAATGATTAATGTGTTTCATTCCCGGAACACATTACCTAGATTTCCCTGAAGAATGAGGTGAATTTCTTTCTCTTTTTACTCCACCCACTTTTCAAGATGCCCCTGATGCGATTGCTCTCTTCTTGGAGAATTCTGCATTTTGTCTGTGGAGTATTTCTTGGTGCATTAAATGATTTGACAAGGACTAGAGTGGAAGAGTGATGAGATGAGCATTTTGGGACTTCTGGAGAGACTAACTTTGACTCAGCACGTGTTGAGTACAGACTCATTTTGGTAGAATACTGTATTACTACATTAAACTTTTTGTTTAAAAAAATGTATGAATGTTGTGTCATCATAAATTCTTCTTGATTCTGGAAAAGCGTTAGCCGTTGCTTTAATTTAATGCTGTCATGTGTTGGAGTCCATATTCCTGAATGTGATCTTTGTGGGCAATGGTGGTGCAGGAGGTAGTGCTATTGTTTGGCAACTGGAGGGTTGCAGGTTCAAGCCCCGGTTCCTCCTGATTTCCTATCAAAGTGTCCTTGAGCAAGACACTGAATCACAAATTACTCCCGGCGCCTCATGTCAGCCTCCGCCCCCGGTGTGTGGATGTGAGTGTGGATGGTGAATGTGAGGCATGTATTGTAAAGCACTTTGAGTACTCGTAGAAGTAGAAAAGTGCTATATAAATGCAATCCATTTATCATCTCTAAGTGCTATAGGGTTACCTACTAATTCTGCTGTTTTCTTCACCTGCTCAGGGGACCCTGAAGATCAGTCTTCCCTACAGTCCCACAAAAACGCTATCTGCTAAGTCCATTCTAAGGCAAGTCTTGCATGTTATGCAAAAGGTCTCACGCATTCTTACACACTAAATTGTCTGTGAGTTGATATATACAATATTTTTTTTATTTTGCATGCACGATATAGTGACTTTTATCAAGCCATCTGCACATAGTTTTGAAGTGTGTAAATGCTAGTTGTAAATAAATTGTTATTGAATTAAAATAAAAGACAAATTCATAAAAAATACATAATAATAACATAATTTATGATACATAAATATGCAAATGGTAACTAAATGACCACAAGTTTTTATCCATAAAACAATACAGGAAATCAGCTGACTGTAACCCCTACTTTCCACCTTAAAACTTTGAAATGAGAGTCTGCTTGTCAGATATAGAACATTCTCAAAATGGAATGGGAGACGTATTGTGCCTTATTACAACATTATTACAATTATTACATACCATATTATTCACAGAGCCGCAAACTATGTGCGGATGGCCTGCCCACAGTCCCAAGTGTCCAGCACCATAACCAAAATGTGAGCATGACTAAATGAATCTGAGAGCTCGAAACAGCAAATTGAGAGCACGAAAAAAGTCAATTGTGCAGACATTAGGGATTTTGTGAGCTCGATTTAGTATTTCGCGGGCACGTTCAGCTTAATTATACATGCAATTTAGTATATCATGCACGCAAAATAAAAAATAAAACTGTTTGTACTCTTTGCACATTTACTCTGTAGATGTACCCTCTGTGAGTGTGTAATATGGCACGAAGTACTTACCTTTTCAGTGCTAATTAGTCTACTTGGCTGAGTGCTTTGTCACAGCTTCTGGTGCTAATCTCGAGCTACTCAACAAGGCCCAACAGGCATAAACTACATACTGAACCTTTTTCCTAGTTTTGCAAGTCTAGACTCCTTTAATTGAAGGAATTAATCATCCTCGCTGTGTAATACTGTTCCTCCCCACCACACAGTGCTTAAAAAACTACCCAACTTCTCATTTTCTTTCTCAGTGCCATGAATCTTGACAAATTTGAAAAGGGCCCCAGAGAAATACTGAGCCCCCATATTCAGAAGGTGAGTGCTGACAAGAACTGGTAACAGTGCAGCAGGCCGGGCTCATTGCTGAGTAACTCAGACAGATGATGTGGGAACACCGTCTGAGTGTCGGCAGCTATTTCATCACGGCTGTTTTCCTTCACAGGACCTGTTGGTGCTAGAGGAACAAGAGGTATTGTTAATTAGTCAGTTTTATTCTTATTTTTGTATCATTGAGTTTTACTGGACTGCATCCAGGGCTGGCCCTAGGCATTCTGGCACCCTAGGTGAGATTATGAGGAATGCCACTCCCCCCCCCCACCTCTCCCTGAGCACCAGAAAACAAATTGTGTCTGTTAATTAAAAACAAAACATTTCAGTAGCACATGATGACTGACTGCTAATTAGCTACATGGTGACTGACTGCTAACAAGGTAGCTCACGTCTGTTTTACATGAAAAGTTGTGAAATATTAAAACTAGTGTAAATAACTAATGTTACGGTATTCAACCAGAGGCATTTCTGATTTTTTTCTATCGCTCTTTTGCATCACCTAATCTAATGATGCCCTAAAAGTACCTATGTCACATGTAGGGTGGGCCGGCCCTGATTGCATCCAATAAGAAGTAAGCATATCCTACTTTACAAATGGGTCTTTGCATTTAATATAGTGATTATGATCCAGTCACTAGTTAAGAGACCTTGCTCAGAATCAAGCAAGGATGTGTACAGTCACTGTAGTCTCGTAGATGAAGCCGATGTGCTTAAAGTACCCATTACGCATTACACCCTCCGCTAGACCTTTGTTCTGTGATGAGAATTAAGCTGTGTTTTCAGGGGTCTGTGAACTTTAAATTCGGTGTCCTGTATGCCAAAGACGGCCAGCTGACGGATGATGAGATGTTTAGCAACGGTGAGTAGTGCTAACTTTCATAGATACATAGTTGGTGTAGCTGCCCAGACCCAAGAGGTGGTGTTACTGCGCTAATGTCTAGGCTGATGTCTAATGATTTGGAAATTGTTTTTGTTCCTTACACAGAAAAGGGAAGTGAAAACTTTGACAAGTTTTTAAACCTGTTGGGCAACTCAGTCACACTGCAGGGTTGGGCTGGGTACAGAGGAGGCCTGGACACAAAAAGTAAGACAAATGACTCCCCACAGCCTCCCCCATGTGGAATATGTCATTCCACAGTCTGTAATGACTTTAATTTGTGTCTGTTTATCCAGTGCGTTAATGCCACTGTTTAATACCCTGTTATCCACAGACGACACTACAGGAATAAAGTCCATATACACTGTGTACCAGGGCCACGAGCTCATGTTCCATGTGTCCACCCTGCTGCCGTACTCCAGGGATAACAAGCAACAGGTGAGGCAGCCCTGCACAAACAGAGCATGACACATAACGCTAGTGAGTAATGTGCAAATGTGAGGGGATGGATGGGAGGAGGGGTTTGCAGAAAGGATGTGAGAAGCACTCTGAGCTGGACTGCTTGTTATCCCATGGAAGTGTCACATCCCTCAGTCTGCCAGCCCACACAGGCCAGCATGGAGAGCTGACTCATTGATGGACTGTGCCTTGAACTTGAGCACAGGTGGCACCTTGCTGTTGGCAAGCCGGCCCATTCTCTCTTTTTCTATAATGTTCACATGCCTGGGGCGGTTGGACACTCAGTTGACCATGGAGCCCCAGAGGTTATTTTTCTCACCACTTGGGAGTTTTCTCCATTGGGTTCCTTTCCTCCGTTCTCATCTATCTATCTTTCTTTCTTTCTTTGTCTTCCCTTTTGCCTGTTTTTGAATTATTGTGTGCAAATGATGTAGGAATGTATTACACCCATGTAACGCACCTTGGGGCACTATATAAAAATAAATCTAATTGAATCGAACTTACATATCCGAACCAAATATTGAAACCTGATTAGCAGACCTAATGTGAATAATCTGTTTTAAGAAAATTAGAAACATAGTAGCACTGTGACCAGTATTTCAATATTATTGAGCCCAGGGTTTTTCACAAAGTACCATACATATAGTGATTCTGTTAGTTTACAGTCATCAAGTGCGTGAATATATCCTTTATATTCTATTCATACACTGCCTGGCCAAAAAAAAAGTCGCCATTTGAATTTATATCAGCAAATACTTAAGAGCCAATGACTGGATCATTATTACAGCTCCGCTACGTTATGCAGCAATAAAGTGAAGTCAGCTGAGTACCTGAATCTACTGAATGGCCAGGTTACACCTACATCCATCATCAATGGATTTTTTCTTCCCTGTTGGCATGGGCGTATTCCAGGACAAGAATGCCAAGATTCATTGGGTTTGAATTGTCAAAGAGTGGTTCAGGGAGCATGAGGAATCATTTTCACGCGTGACTTGGTCACCACAGAGTTGTGACCTTAACCTCATTGAAGGTCTTTGGGACGTGCTGAAGGAGGCTTTACGGAGTGGTTCAACTCACTTGTCAATACAGGATCTCGGTGAGAAATTAATGCAAATCTGGATGAAAATAAAGGGTGAGATGTTGCTTAAGCCTGTGGAAACAATGTCATGACAAATGTGCACCATAATCAAAGCTAAAGGCGGTCCAATGAAAAATTCAAATGGAGACTTTTTTTTGGCCGGGCAGTGTGTGTGTGTATGTGTGTGTGTGTGTGTGTGTGTGTATCTCCCTTTTATGTCCTCCTGAGACCCAGAAGAAAGAAGGTTTTTATGTTTAGGTTTTCTTTTATATAATTAAAGTATTACGGCTGAAAGAAACATATTACAGCAAAAAAAAATCAAAACTGTTATTCATTTATTTTTTTATCTGTCCCATTAGACATATGAGTAAAAGTAATATACTTTAATTTTCTGGTTATATTGCGATTATGTATTATGTATTACCAATAACCTTTCAATAAGAACAGCAACCTGGTGTTTCCACTGTAAAGCTGATACATAGTGGCAGAGAATAGTTCAAATTGGGTTTATATAACCATGCAACTCAGGACTGCTTAATAATCTCATGGTTAAATATTGAATCAGTAAGTGACTTTAGGCTCATCTAGCAACACCAACTCTGCTTATATGTCTGAATGTAGGCGGGGAATAGCACTGCACTGAGAAGATGAATTTGACTTACATGGTAATGTTTTATGAAGAGGAGGCCTGAATCTGGGCATGCTCAGGCAGGGGTGTGCCCTCCCCCCCCCAGAGGAATGCTGGTCCTTTGCAGGGCACGCGTGCAGGATTTGGAGACACCAATTCTTGTCTTTCGATTGTGGATGGAAATCAGAGCACTTCAAAGAAATCCATAACTCTTCACACACAGGGCTGGGATTCAAACCCCAAACCCTAGTGGTGTGATGCTACCCTCTGCCTCACCACACTGCTTCTCTTAATTCATTAATATTTATTATTTGTGCAAAAACCTTTTTTTTGATTGGTATGGGAAAACAGCATAATTTGGAAAGTGTAAGTTAAATTCATTTTGGCTGTAAATTTGAGGTTTAAGAACATAACAACATAAGAACTATACAAAGGAGAGGAGGCCATTCGGCCCATCGAGCTCGCTTGGTTTAATGTGTTTCTGGTTCATAAATGTATGATTGTTGTGTGATAAAGGTGTGTGTTCTGTCAGGTCAGTTACCCTTGGCAGTAACTTTGCATTATGGTTCTACATCAGGGCTAAAGCTGCGACTGTTTGCCTGCCACATGCGCCTCGCTTCATGTGTCTGTGCACTCGCCCAGGTGGAGCGGAAGAGGCACATTGGGAATGACATCGTCACTATAGTGTTTCAAGAGGGGGATGACGCCTCATCAACGTTTAAACCATCCATGATCCGATCTCATTTCACACGTATCCTTTGGGATGCTGTAGGTCTCAGTGGGAATCCCAAGAGAAGTGAAAACTATAATCAAGTTCCTTGTATGTTTCCTTTACTTACGCCCTGTAGACATATTTGCCTTAGTCAGGTTTGATAGTAAGAACAACAGCTACAGGTGAGTATGTACGCTCTACAGGATTTCTGTTTCTCATTCTGTAGCCATTGTGATGTAATGTGCTGGACTGCTGCCATGTGACACCAAACAGGCTGAAGATCTTCTCGGAGGAGAGCGTCCCATTGTTTGGGCCGCCCCTCCCCTCACCACCAGTGTTTACAGACCACCAAGAATTCAGGGACTTTTTGTTAGTGAAATGTGAGTAATTCAGCTCTGCCATTTCTGCCCAGCTTATTCGTGTGTGCAATTCCCACCTTCCCTGTTTTACCAGACCAGTGGGAAATACTGATTCTCTTTTCAGCCTTTTGACATGTCTGTCGTGTTCCTGGCAGTAATTAATGGGGAAAAGGCCACATTAGAGACGGCTACGTTTGCTCAGAAAAGGCAGCGGACACTGGACATGCTGATCCGATCGCTGTATCAAGACCTCAGTCCTGATCTTCACAAGGTATATCTTGGATGGATGAGGTGTCTGTTGGTACTGTCTCACAATATGTGACCCACCAGAATGTCAGTTAATATCCTCACCAAACACATATTTTGTCGCAATTAGGAACCTTTTTCCATATCTGAAGTGTCGCATCACAGAAAATCAAATACATGCGAATTCAAGTATTTTTAAAGTTCTAGAAACCAAGTAGGTCTGCCGTCAGCCATTTACAATAACCCCCACAGAACCTCTTTGATCTGAAAGTCACATGCAATCCTTCCAGCAGACACTGAGCTGAAGATCCACAGACTCATATCTGTACTAAACATACTTGCGCATAAAAATTATGCCTGTTGTTGGTCGACTCCTAACTGTAGTGAAGTGACTGCTTTATTACTGACTGCTAGAGAAGGATGAAGGTCTGTGCTGCTGCAGTAGATCACCTGTGACCTGTTCACGATGTACATGTCACATCTCACCGCCTGCATCTTGTGAATGAGAGCTCATTCCATGCTGTCCCTCTGCAGGTCCCCTTCTATCCCCAGAACATGCTGAACCGTCGGTCATTCAGTGACGTTCTGCCTGAATCTCCCAGATCTGCCCGAAAAAAGGAGGAGGCCAGGCAGGCAGAGTTTGTCAGAATAGGTCAGGTAGGTACTTGTCAGGAAACATCATGCCCCAGCAGTTCCCCATTCAATCATTCTGACAGCATTGTGGGGACCAAATGAGGACCAAACCTGTGTGTGTGTGTGTGTGTGTGTGTGTGTGTGTGTGTGTGTCAGCTGTGAATCTGCCATCTTTATCCACCCCTTTACAGTAGCATTATTTTTAAGTCCTGTGGAATAAGAGCAACACGACCTCCCTCATTATCCAGGCGTTAAAACTGAAGACCATCGTGCAAGGGGATGCTCCGACCAGTCTGGCGACGACGGGGATGTGCCGAAAAGAGGTGGGGGGCTGCCATTTCCCTCCAGATGGGTGATGAATGGAAGTATCGTATGTGTCCAGAGTAAAGACCGTCACGTTCTGATGTCACCCACTGTCCAACTTCCTCGTAGCCCTGGGAGCCCCAGCCCTTCTGCAGTAATTTCCCACATGAGATTATATGCAGTGACTCCTGGGGTCAGTCTCTGCTCGTTGCCACTGAGGCCGGAGTCATGCTACTGGGCGGTGAGTTACATTTCCTGTCCTGAGTGGTGTGACTGCCGTTGGATTTACTTCTTTCACGGTACCACCTTAATTGACAGGATCTGATATGTAGCCTTTGCCTTGTCAGCCTCTGATCTAACTCTTTTCAGACTTGCATAGCATCACTTTCACACTGTGCTGGTGTAAATGTCACTGGAAAAGCTGACAAGCTCTATTGCCATAAGAAAATACATTTTCATCCTTACATATTGGCAACCAGTTATCCATGCATGGCTAATTATCCTTAATCCTTAATTATCGAAACTCTGACGCTTCTGGTTCTGCTTATTTTTCATCTTCTCCTTTGTTACATATACATGTACTTCCACAGAGAGCCATACAGCCCCTACGCAGGTCTTTGACCGAACCATGCTGGTCAAGCAGATGCATGTCCTTGAACCTCAGGACCTCCTGATCATGAGGGCTGACAAAGGTTAGAAGAATAACATATCCAATATCCTTTAAGGTTATGGTTAAGGTTACTTTATTGTCATCAACGGCTTTATACATGTACAAAGTGTGATGAGACAATGTTTCCCCAAGGCCCCGGTGCAACATCTAGTAACACTGAACATCACATTCAACAGGGCAAAAAGTGCCCTGTTGAAAGCAATAACACAGCGATCACTATATTATTACTCAAGAGACTAAGTGTTGAATCACATTTGGAGATTTTCTTCAGCCATATATTATAAGGGTGAACTTGGTTCATTCAAATGTGACATCTTCCATTTCAGACACAGATAAATTAATCTAAAAACAGCAACTCAACAGTGAGTCATGCTGCGTTTGCCACAGAGTGCAAAAAACAGAGCAGCCTTGTAATTGACTGTGGGGTCACCCTGTTTTAATTACCCACATCAAAGAAAGGAAGCAGATGTTTCTGTCAGTGGGCGCTCTCAGAATCTCCAGTAATTTGTGCGTTTTCTCATAGCTTTGTGGTCTGTGTTTGGCTCTTGCCTGCTATCTTGAACTGCTTTTGAGGTATCGCGTGATTCCTTTCGTTTATTAATTGTGGCGTAATTTTAAACTTCCACGGAGGTGGCAGTGACCTGCCACACAGTGTTACGGGGCACTGACTCTCTCAACAGGCAGACGTCGCAAAAATAACATTGATTCACTTGTGAATCATGTTTGACGCTTAGAATTAGAAAAGGTAACTTTTGAGCATGGGGTGGAGTTCTGGCTGCCAAAAATGCAAAACCAGTTAGTAAAGCCTCTCTTGGCAAGGGTCGAATTTAAGCATCTGCTGGCCAGTATTTATCCTAATTCATTTAACTACAGAGTGGGCATTGAGAATGGAAGGCGCAAAGTGTCAAATGCAATAATTGGACCTTTTATGTTACACAATCAAGTCCAAGCTGTAGTTTGTTTATTTTATCTATGGAAAATGTAACAGGTTTACAATCAATTACAAGTCATTTTATAAAGAGTATATTTGGGGCAGTGTGTGGCTCAGTGGGCTAAGCCTCTGTGCCTGTGGTCCGAAGGTCACCAGTTCAAGCCTGGCCTTGGCGGACTTGTCACATCTGTGGGCCCTAGAGCAGGGCCCTTAACCTTCAGTTCCATGGGCACTGCTACAGGTGGCTGCCCTTCCCTGCAAAGCTTGCTCTGAGCTGCCTAAGCATCTGTGTCTCATGGAGTTACACAAAACAGCATTTGCCCACAGGAATAAATGAAGTATTAACAGCAGCTGTTTTGTGTCAAGATCAGCCCTCTTATAGAGACATAATGGGATTCGTCGTCATTTTCCACAATAGTGAGTCATGGTTGATAATTTGTAACACAGCTGGTTTGCTTATTGTACAGGGAAAGAAGCCCGTCTCTATATCTTTCGACTCAGCACTGTCTCTAAGGGCATAAAGGAGAAGCAGCTCATCCGCAGCAAGTATGACAGTAGAGACAATAAACTTGAGAAGACCAAAGGTGATTGGATTTCTCCATTGTCACATGACTCACGTTCTCCAAGGTTACAATGACAGGAAGGGTTCCTTTTATGTCAGTGTGGCACCAGTTGTAGTCCCTCACTCTCTGTGTCTCTCTGTCTCTCTTTCACACACCCGCCCCACCCTGCAGGCTGCCATTTGTACTCCATTAACACTCACCACGCGGCGGAGCTGCGTATCGTGGCAGCCATTCGCAACAAGTTGCTGCTCATCACCAGGAAGACGCCACGCCAGGAGAGTGTGAGCGCGGACTCCCCCGTGGAGGAGTTGCAGTACATCAGGGTAAGTAGGTGTTAATAAGGCTTTTCCTCTGCAGGCTTCATGCCCCAGGGCAATGACAAGCAGGATGAATTAATCGTATCATCACAATCAAATAAGTCTGAATTTAAGTTACCTTAAAATGGTACTTTGCTCTCAGAGCAAATCAAACAAATCACACAACATTGATTACATAATTACTGTCATTTGTGGAAAAATTAAGAAAGAAAGAAAAAAGCCAAAAGCATAATTTTGTATAAGGATATGTTTAGAATTCCTTAAAAATTAATTTAATAAATGGGTATAGAAATAGGTATAGAAAATGGATGTGGATGGAATTTGTTATTATAGATTCTGTACATAAACATCTGTAACCAAAACTTAATTTTATGAATGACTTATATAAGGTTTTTAATAGAAAATGTTATTAATAATGTGAGATTTTTGTAGTTGAAAGTCAGTGGAATTTGAAAAATGATATAGTTTCATTTCAGTATGGCAGCAAAACCCAAGAAACAGTATTTAAAAAGTTTATTTTTAACAGGTCCATTAAATAGGTCACTCTTTCATAAGGTATATTTCACTTTATTATTTCATATCATAAATATTTTAAGATACATTCTTGAAACACTGTCGACATGTGGCAGCCGACAGTTGCTGACAAATTGTTGTCACATAATCCAGGTGACAATAATATGTCCTGAAATATAGGAAAAAATCTTCTTGCCAGCTGTGAAACTCATGTCCTCCTTTATGTTTGTAGGTACATTCTGTATGTCATTAATTCTGTCTGATTTTCAATGTATTTTATAAGAACCTTAAATTAATTCACTATATAAACAACCTAATGTATTGTAGCTGTTATTCCACACACTCACTCAGCAAACAGTTCAGACATGCCAGTCGTTTTTGGGTGATATGACCATGATGGTGGTCTACAAAAATAGCACATGAGAACAACAAAAAACACAAAACAACTACACTGTAACCATTAATGAAGAATCCATGAAGTAAAACAGACAAATAAACACCATAATCAAACTGCACAGAAACAGGCCTTACGCACACCACAAAGCATGCTGCGATAGATATCCTGGAAGTAGAGAGTTCAGCAACTTTGGTAAAGGCCTACTTCAGTATTTTTAAAAAGTATCAATATCACCAAAGTCCAAAATGAAAACCCAATAATAGATAGCATTTCCCTGCATGGCTTAGAGACACTCTAAAGCATGAAAAATTACTATTTAATGTTAATCTGTTTGAGTTTTCCTTAACGCAAGTCTTTCTGTTACACAGGAGATCTGTCTTTGCGACCCTCCTGTTGTCATGACGCTGGTGGATGGCCCCACCGGTGAGAACGACCACATGATTTGCGTGGCATACAAGCACCAGTTCGACCTCATTAATGAGAGCACGGGTGAGGCCTACCGGCTGCATCACGTAGACGCCAACAAGGTGAGTTATCCAAATGCTGGGGCCTCTGGACTTCAGGCTGGCCCTCTCTGCTGCCCCCCGCCCCCCCACGACCCCATTACTGTCAGGCAAGGCATGCAAGATATTTATCACCACAAAGTGGTGAGGGGTGCTGACCTCATGTCTACATTTTTCCACTACAGTGAAGCCCAGAGACCTCCGGCTAAATGCAAAAAATGACTACCAACGGCCCACCTTATTTCCCTCAAACTAAAGTTTAATTTTTGTACCCCCCTGTCTAGGTGAACTTTGTGGCAGCCATTGATATGTATGAGGATGGGGAAGCTGGCATTTTCTTGTGCTACAATTGTGAGTACTGGCGATGTTCACTTCTTCTGTGGTTTGCCAAGCACTGCTTTCCATGCCAAAGATAAACAGCATTATAATAAGGACAATTGGAGTTATTTTCTGTGCTTTACTGTTTATGATATGACAATATCATGATATGACAATATCACGATATGACAATAATCACAGACATAGGTATATTTCATAACTAATCCTGCAAATTGTATCATAGATATCTGCTACTATAAGAAGGTGTGCCCATTCAACGGAGGTGCCCCCATAATGCAGTTCTCCAGTTCGGATTTCCACTTCAGCTGGAACCAGGTGCCAAAAGCAATCGGTATGCTTTCATATTAGCTTATGTAGCTCTTTGGCAGGTGCTTTTGTCTTGCTTTGCTATGCTGGTTGCAGATCCTCATCGATTTTTCCCCTGCACTGACTTTAAAAAGCACATAACAAAACATCTTTCCCATCTGTCTGTGATCATTTTAATGTTTTGATTAAAATCGAACAAAATTGTCAGTCCGCATATGATTACAAGCAACTGTGTGTATGCATGGGTTTTGGATTTTTAGTCTGCGCCTTCCCCTACATCCTGGCCTTCACGACCGACTCCATTGAGATCCGCCTGGTTGTGAACGGAAACCTGGTGTACACTGCGGTGGTCCCAGAACTACAGCTTGTCTCATCGAGGGTGGGTGAGACACAGCGAGCATCTCGCTTCCCTAACGGTCCAGGAAGCTCAGACTCCTTTCTAACTGCAAGTGAGATACGGCAGCTACACCACCACAGGAAAGTGACAGCAATGATAATAATCTCTCATAACAAGGGAGCACACCAATGCCTGCAGGAAACACTGATAACGATTAACTCCTGGTGACTTAGCTATGAATTTATACTGTGGGTCTAACAAAGCAGTGCACTGCTCACTACGGCGCTCGTCCTTGTGAAAAGCTACATCAGGCTGGTGTGCAGGGTTTAAGCTTCACGTGCAGAGGCTGCTAAAGGAGTCCCTGACTTGCTTTTTGTTTGCAGGCAGACATCTACTTTGTGTCCGCCGCTCCAGTAAATGCTGTCTTTAGCAGCAGCTCCAGGGAAAACAGCACTCACAGCTCCCCTCAGACCCCCACTGAGCAGGACATGCCAGCCTTCCCCCCACCACTAGGGGACGGTAGGTCTCTCCTTCCGATCTTAGGTAGTGAATTTTACAGAAAAACTACCTTACCCAGACATTTATAGATTTTCACACTATAATGCTATATGTGTTGTGTATGTAGTTATATGTGTAGTTTAACTTTCAAGAAATTTCAAGGCTGTTAAACTTGCGATTACAATGCTTTCCTGAAGCATAACATTGACCAAGATACCAGTCACACAACCAGAAGCTAAGTAAACAGCTCAAATGTGGGTGGGTTTCCCACTGGATTTTAACGAACTGTGATTAACACCAGCAAGGATAATTACAGATGAGTAACTGTTGAGGTTGTGGGTTTAGCCATGCTGAGTGAGTCACATATAGCAGTATCCCTGTTATAGGCGAGCGCCCTCTCAAATGAGGTGAAACACTGAACAAGCTTCATGAGGTGTGCTATTCCGGAATATGTTTGTCTACCCATGTTAATGCATTTCACAGTTCCTGGGACTTTAACTAGTATTATACGTGCTACCTCCTTTTTAGGAAAAGCCAAGGAGACTGAATGTAATGTATTAATCTATTTCTTTGTCATCTCTTATATGTTCTTAGACTGAGAATCTGGTCACTGTCCAGAGAGAAGCATCTTGTACTGTCTGTCTATTTCACAGTAAATGATGCAGTTCTTCTCTGATTTATGGTCACTTAGCTGGTCGTCAGCAAACAGAGCAGAGGGGGAATTTGAGCCCCCTACATAGATTTTGCAGAACTTTAAATTTACATTTTTAAATCCTTTGAATTCTAAACACCCCTGTAGTTATTGAATTTTTTTTGTGTGTTTATGATCCTTTGTTGTGGTTGTGATTATGTTTTAAATGACACATAATGGGATCCTGCTTAAATCACAATCTGCGATTTACACGTACTGTACATCTGGCACTGCAGTTATTTGTAGTGTTTATCTGCAGTACTTTGCCAGTCAGAACATGGCCTACTGTCTCTATTAACTTATCATTTACAACAAGCCCACATGCATATTTAACAAAGAAATGTTTTTGTTAGACTAAAATTTATTAGATACAACTTGCCTTGTTTTTTGGAAAATGTGACGCTGAGTGTCTCTAAGGGACCCACTTCTGCTTTCAGAATCAGAATCAGCTTTTATTCGCCAAGTGTGCTGGGGCACACAAGGAATTTGTTTCCGGCAGCTTGATACCCCCTCGTACACAGACAATAAGCGACACTATACAAACAATAAATTACACTGTACAAAAAATTACAAATGTGAAAAATTATAAATACTATAAATATACACGTGGGTAACACTGCAATTTTAAGGTGCGAGGTAGAGTGCAAACAGGGGGGAAATTGACATAAGGCAGATGACAGCTTAGCTGTTTATGAGGGTGATGTCCCTGTGATCAGAAGGTCACCGGTTCGGGCGCGGCCATGACATGTCGGCAGGTCCTTGAGCGAGGCCCTTAACCCCCAGCTCCTTGGGCGCTGCAACAGGTGGCTGCCCTTCGCAGCCAGCTAACTCTCATAGTGGGCGGTATGATGGCTTACTGGGTGTCACTTTTTCCTTACACCTCTTATGTTGTGGATTTGAAACCTGCCTCTGTTCTGTGTGGGTGGTCTGTAGGTTTGAAATCTGCCTCTGTTCTGGGGTGGTGTGTGGATTTGAAAACTGCCTCCGTTCTGTGTGGGTTTGAAACCTGCCTCTGTTCTGTGTGGGTGTTGTGTAGGTTTGAAATCTGCCTCTGTTCTGGGGTGGTGTGTGGATTTAAAACCTGCCTCCGTTCTGTGTGGGCGGTGTGTGGGTTTGAAACCTGCCTCTGTTCTGGGGTGGTGTGTGGATTTGAAAACTGCCTCCGTTCTTTGTGGGTTTGAAACCTGCCTCTTTCATTTCTGTGTGTGGTGTACGCTGGTTCTCCCTGAGTCACCCAGGTTCCCTCCTGACATCCAAAGATGTGTATGCATGTATGTGCCCTGTGATGACTGGTGTCCCATCCAGGGTGAACCCGCACCTTGTGCCCTATGTTCCCTGGGATTGGCTCCAGGCCCCCTCTGATCCAGCTGGCAGAAGGATATAAGAGCAGATATATCTTAAAATGCTACATCAAACCAAGAATGATTGCATTGCTTCCATGTATCTTGTTGAATCACTTTTGTAGAAGGTTTCTCCTATTTTCCTTTAAATGTCAGATTCTATTAGGATCCCCTTTGGAAGCAGGATCTCCCTGTACATGCCAAAAGAAGCAGAAGGTACTTACATGGTCTCCGTGCCATGTTAAGCTACTAACATGTCTGTTATTGGAAATGCTTTCCAGACTGCGGCCCCGTTTTTCACTCCTTACATCAGAAAACAATCACTTGTAGTGATGTCCCTCCCTAGCAATGGGACAATGTAAATTTAATGACGGCGCTAGATGCACTACTGAAGATGAGTGCAAATCAATACCAAAACAGATGAAAGAACAGAATGCTCAGTAATTTGCAGTTTTTCATGCTTATGTTCCAAATTTTTATGCAATTCTTAACATTAAACAAAAGAGACACGGTAAAATGGTACTTTTCAAAGGCACAGCCCATACCCGCGGTTTGGAATGCATTGCATTTCTTTAATTGCAAGCGGCATGTAACGCGAAGTCCATCATCCCTCTAACATGAAAGCACCATCTCCTCAGCTGCATGACCCTGTAAGGGTTTGTTCGGCAGAGTGGCATGGGAGAATTGCCCAGACAGTGAACCTGTCTTCCATGTTCAGGACAGATGCTGAAACACTGACATCCAAACTCTTTTCTCTGTTCTTCCACAATGAAACTTACAAGCTTTAATTGTAAGGAAAACATTCTTTTGCCATGCAGCTTTAAATCCTACTGTCTTTAAGGTCATTGCAAACTTAATTATGTCAATAAATCCTCAATGCTACTGGCATATCAAATAAAGCACATGTATGCAGTGTATTCTACACTATATGGACAAAAGTATTGGGGCACCTGGCCATTTTTGTGTTTTGTTTTTGTGTTGGGGTTAATACAAGTGGAAGTTTGGAACTTGCAGTGGTGACTTTTACGCACTATGCATCTCAGCACTCGAAGAGCCCCTCTGTTACTATATGTTAGCCACTTTGTGGCTGAATTTCTGGTTAGCCACTTTGTGGCTGAATTTCTGGTTTTTCTAAATGCATCCACCTTGCAATAATAACACTTACAGCTGACCATGGAATATCTGGCAGGGAATGAATTTCACAAACTGATTTATTGCATAGGCTGCATTCTGTAACAGTACCATGCTTGAATCCACTGAGCTCTTCAGAATGACCCATTCTTTCACAAATGTTAGTAAACCTGACTGCATGGCCAGGTGCTTGATTTTATACATCTGTGGCAATGGGTCTGAATGAAACACCTGAATTCAATGACTAAGAGGTGTGGGCAATACTTTTGTCCATATAGTGTACGTTTCCATCATGTTTGGTAACATTTTAATAGTTTTGCATTTTGTGCCAAAATCCAGTTTCAGAGAGATGCACCTGACTCCAATTGTGTAACATCTACTCATCAAAACTGTTTACCGTCCATATGTATATTTTATATATACATATATGTGTGTGTGTGTGTGTGTGTCTCACTTAAAACACACATATATATTTTAATTTACATTTCAGGTGTACTTTCCAAGTGGAAATGAAATTACACCAGTTACATACAGTACATAATTAGATAATCAGAGTTTTTAGGACGAAATACAATTTTGTGTATAAGTTATCTGTGAATATCGCTACGGACAAATATGGCTTTCCATTGCAACCTTCTTCCTCTTATAGGTGAGACACCATCTAAACACATCTTCAAGATCCCCCTCAGCAATCTTGTGGGACGCGGCATCGAGAGACCACTGAAGTCACCTCTTCAGCACAAGGTGGTGACCACGTCAACCTCAAGCATGGTGGCGGTCTCAACACACCTTCCCGTCCAGCACTCCCTCTCCTGCTCTCGCATGGAGATCAAAGAGATAGCCAGCCGGACGCGCAAGGAGCTCCTGGGTCAGTCACTTATAATGCTGAATTGTCATTTTATACTTTTTCCTGGTTTTGTAATCATGAACCCTACAGCCTTTTAGGGTTGAGTCTTGCGGCTGGTATTTGAACATATACTAGTCACAGATCTTGCATCTATACCAGTTACGTACTGAATCAGACCTTCTAGTTCAGATCACCTTTTGTTCATGTCCAGGCCTTACAGACGAACCAAGTGTTAAGCCAGAGGCCCCTGTGAAACCCAAGCATGTGACCAAGAAGCCAGTGGAGGAGGATTCAGCCACAGGCGTGAAACCATCCAGCAGCTTAAAGAGGTAAGACTGCCCTCTGGGGTCTGAATATGGAGAAGGAGAATTATGTTCTGTCCTTCGTTATCTTCCATCTTTGGGTCAATGAGATTGTTTTGTGATTGATCAAGTTATCGTTATTAATATACCAGAGCATGTGAGCAGAGTGGAGCGGAGCGGAGCGTGAGCGAGGACTGGAGCGGGTGGAATTTAGTCAGAGCATGGAGCGGTTTTTTAAATTAAGGCTGGAGCGGTCGCTCTGTCTCGCTCCAATTTCGCTCCGATAGCGCTCACACTACGATTCTGAGGCGTGCCCAAATCTACCCAGAATTCAACTGTACAATTCTCAAGACTGTTACACAAATTGGCCGAGGTGGAATTTGCAAAGTATTTCACAATGGAAACTGATAAATCATACAAGTGTACTATTCTTATCAAACGTATAGGTGACAATAATGTAGAGCAAGAACAATAATGTGGTGAAACTGTTTCAGTGAGTAAAGATTCACTTTGGAATCACTTTTCTCAGAAACATGAGAGTGTGCTACGCGAACAAGCGGAAGCCAGAGCAAAACGCGTGCAAGTTTTATATGGTTGTAGCATATCAAGTCTATAAAGTAAATGAAAGTATAAAAGCCTATAAAGTAAATATTGGTAATCAAATAAATTCGTTTTGTCATTCAAAGTAGGTCTAATAGGATTTTTTAAATTTCACAGCAGCAGCATCAACAGAAAAAAATTGAGTAATTTAAAACGTGGATGCTTAGCCTGTACATTCTTTAGGCTATTAAGCCCACTGATTCCTTTATTTTTAAGCCTATATACACTCACCTAAAGGATTATTAGGAACACCTGTTCAATTTCTCATTAATGCAATTATCTAATCAACCAATCACATGGCAGTTGCTTCAATGCATTTAGGGGTGTGGTCCTGGTCAAGACAATCTCCTGAACTCCAAACTGAATGTCAGAATGGGAAAGAAAGGTGATTTAAGCAATTTTGAGCGTGGCATGGTTGTTGGTGCCAGACGGACCGGTCTGAGTATTTCACAATCTGCTCAGTTACTGGGATTTTCACACACAACCATTTCTAGGGTTTACAAAGAATGGTGTGCAAAGGGAAAAACATCCAGTATGCGGCAGTCCTGTGGGCGAAAATGCCTTGTTGATGCTAGAGGTCAGAGGAGAATGGGCCGACTGATTCAAGCTGATAGAAGAGCAACTTTGACTGAAATAACCACTCGTTACAACCGAGGTATGCAGCAAAGCATTTGTGAAGCCACAACACGCACAACCTTGAGGCGGATGGGCTACAACAGCAGAAGACCCCACCGGGTACCACTCATCTCCACTACAAATAGGAAAAAGAGGCTACAATTTGCACAGTTGAAGACTGGAAAAATGTTGCCTGGTCTGATGAGTCTCGATTTCTGTTGAGACATTCAAATGGTAGAGTCAGAATTTGTCGTAAACAGAATGAGAACATGGATCCATCATGCCTTGTTACCACTGTGCAGGCTGGTGGTGGTGGTGTAATGGTGTGGGGGATGTTTTCTTGGCACACTTTAGACCCCTTAGTGCCAATTGGGCATCGTTTAAATGCCACGGCCTACCTGAGCATTGTTTCTGACCATGTCCATCCCTTTATGACCACCATGTACCCATCCTCTGATGGCTACTTCCAGCAGGATAATGCACCATGTCACAAAGCTCGAATCATTTCAAATTGGTTTCTTGAACATGACAATGAGTTCACTGTACTACAATGGCCCCCACAGTCACCAGATCTCAACCCAATAGAGCATCTTTGGGATGTGGTGGAACGGGAGCTTCGTGCCCTGGATGTGCATCCCACAAATCTCCATCAACTCCTATCAATATGGGCCAACATTTCTAAAGTATGCTTTCAGCACCTTGTTGAATCAATGCCACGTAGAATTAAGGCAGTTCTGAAGGTGAAAGGGGGTCAAACACTGTATTAGTATGGTGTTCCTAATAATCCTTTAGGTGAGTGTATATGATATAAGGCTTCGGTTTAAGGTGACATTTGTTAGGCATACAGATTATTTGTCCTTCTTTTAAATTGGAGTGAGCGTGGAGCGATTTCACTGGAGCGGGGGGAAATTTTAGTGGAGCGAGGAGCGGTGTTGAGCGGAGCGACTTAGTATGAATTAGAGCGGAGGAGCGGGCGGAGCCAACAGCCTCATGAGCGAGGAGCAGAAATTCTCACCGCTCCACTCTGCTCACATGCTCTGTAAGATACTACTTATTATTCTTACTGCTCAACAACTTGACAGTCAAATAATTATCCAAATTGCATACCCATCACAAGTCATGTAGCTTGTAATAAATTAAACCTCATTGATTAAAGACCATAAATAAGCTGCTGCATCTCTCATAGCAGACAGACTGAGAGCAGGGCACTGGGACGTACTCTGTGACCCTGAACCATTCATGCCTCTGCAGGGCAGAATCGCCATCAGCTGTGGGCCTGGATGTCCAGCTGCACAGCACATCAAGCCCAGAGCTGAACCTAGAGCCAACTGGGGAGACACAGGATGGCCCCCCGCCACTCAGCATCCCTTTCACTATCTCTCCCTCCCCTGAGGAAGATGTCCTGGACTTAAAATGAAGACAATCCACAGAATGTTTCTCTGTTTTTATATGAATCCACTGTACCTCCTTGTTCAGTTTATCCTTTAACAAAGTATTAGCAATGTCACCGGGTGGTTCGACCTTGACTGTGCTGTTGCTGTTCTTGTTTTTGGTCAGGGAATATAGTGCTTTACAGTGGTGAGTGAGTACTTAGCCTGCTGAACCCTGCGACTGCAGTAGTATAGACCGCTCTTTCTTTGACCTCTGACCTTGTGTTTTTACGCCTGGCAACATCTTTTTCCCAAGAGAATCACATGCACAGGTCGCCGTGATTTAAGGTGGCATGCTGGTCCAGACACTGTTCATTTTGATTTCAGAAGCATATTCATGCCATGCACAAGAATATAATTTAAACTTTATTGTACATAAACATCATTATACTACAACCCTGTACTGGTTAAGCAGATGAATGATAATATGTTATTTTTATTATATTTAAAATAATAACTAAAAAAACATATTAAAAGCCAATAGGGACTTTTTACTCAATCTTGAAGCTAATTTTAGTTTCATTGTCAAGTGACAATGACAATAAATATTTATCTTCCATTTACTTCCGCTTATCCGAGGTCGGGTCGCGGGAGCAGCAATCTCAGCAGGGAAACCCAGACTTCCCTCTCCCCGGCCACTTCCTCCAGCTCCTCTGGGGGAATCCCGAGGCGTTCCCAGGCCAGCTTATCTATCTAAAATAATATAAAGGTCAATTTAAACTGGTAAATGAATTGAGTCTAGAGAAAACTGTTTTCAGTCAGGCCTATGCTAATGTCATGACAGTTTTTTCTTCCTCAAATGACCACTAGAGGACAACAGGGGGGTTCTGTGCTTTGTAACACTTGTGTTTATTTGGTATAGAGCTTGCCTGTGTTTTACCTTACTTAAGTTCTTCTATGAGCTGTGCATTTCCCTCTTGAGTTGGTTTCTCTTGAGTTTGAGATGGTGCACTGCATGAAATGACTGCGACAAAGCCTTACTTCTCCAGGAAAGTTTACCCGTTTTGCTCTTTGGTCCACACTGCTCTGGAAACCCAGTCCTCAACCCAGTCCTTGGGGACCCCTAAACAGTCCTTTTTTGCTGCCAGTATCTGGGAGGGAGCAAAAATTGTTAACTGTCTAGCTGGAAGTGAGGAGGAAACAAAAACGTGGACCGTCTGGGGTCCCCAAGGACCGGATTGAGAAACACTGACCTGGAATGACGAGGCTTTAGCATTCGTAAAGGTAGCTATGATAAATGTCCACACTTTACCTCCTAGTTTGCCTTTTAGGCCATTTCTTGTGATAAGCTTTATTCAGGGTGTAATGCATCAAATCCGCCTCTCAGATGAAGACAGCCTACATGCTCTATGGCTCTTTATAGGACCTGGGCTACCAAGGCTTGCATTAATTGATTTTGCGATGTGTTGCTCATGTGCAGATGGTGTAAGAAAATACAGAAAAGATGTGTTTTTGGGGAGTGGGTACCACAGGCACAGCGCTGGTGCCAGGGGCATACAGGGGGTGTGAAGACAGCAAGGTTTTATCTAGAAGTGTTGCATAGTGAAATGGGTTGTTACGCCTTACAGCTGTCTTAATAAGACTAAATACAAATGAAATGTTGGTCACATCCAGGTCAGGGCAGGAGTCAGCCACAATCTCCGAGGTCTGGCTTGCTATGGCTTGGGACCCACAATCAGTCCATGTGTTTGTTCCCTCCCTTCTCCGAGGGAGCAAAAATGTGGACTGACTGGCAGGGAGCTCAGAGGGAGCAAAAACATGGACCAGCTGCAGGTCCCTGAGGACCGGATTGGGAAACACTGATCTATATGAATCCTCAGTGAATATGAAACCATGGAGTGAAACAATCCCCAGTCTTTCTACTCCATCTTTCAAATTTGTTCATTAGGTTTCTGTTGGTTAATCTGCAACATGTGCTTTAACTTGGTTTCGTTGACTGAAATAGAATCAGATTTAATGGAAAAAAATGCAAGCCTAATAAAATATGTATGTCACAATAGCCTAAAAGCAGAAGCAGCTCCACCTGTGTCTGTGCCATGGGCTATTGCCCCGAGTATTTTAAGCCGAGCCCCGAGTATTTTAAGCCAGATGCCAGTCATCCTTCAAATAAAAGAAAAGAAGCTTGACTTAGCCCCTGATCTTTTCAATAGGTAGAAATGCCCCTGGTCTTTGGCCTCCATTTTTAAATATACTCAGTTCAGTTGTCATTTGTATAGGCTGTTTGCAGACCTGTACATGACACTAATCCCCCCTTTAGCCCTGTCAGTAAATGACTTCTGGAATAGAGGATCAGGTATTTCTGATACTGACCGATAGATACACTAAATTTAACGTAAATTGCACTGTAGAATAAAGACATAAAATTTGATTTTAATCATATCTTTAAAAAATACTGGATACATGTTGCCTGTGTTTTAAACTCCTTAAGATTATTTATTTGTAAACCATGTGTAGGATAAAAGAAGCTAAATGATGTAGATTAGATAAACCAAAACTGAAAGTGAGTTTCTTTTGCGTTTCCATTATTGTGTTGATTCACACTGAAAATACTTGTATGCATGGCACTTATATGCTACTGAATTTCTTGATAGTAAGATATAATTTGGTCTCCACTCGTTTCTTTTAACATCCACTTTCACATAAAAATATTAGGAGTAATTTTTCAAAGAGCAGAATAATCTGTAAGACCAGGCTGGTCCTGATTAGTCTCTGGTTCCCAAACAGAATTTTAACTGTAGCTCATAAACTATCACTAATCACTAATGCATGATTTTTATTTTTTTTAAAGATCAGTAATGGGACCCTAAATATGTAAATCTCTCACTCCGAATGGCCGTGTGATACAGTTGCATTCAGTCAGGTGAAACCTGAAACCTGAATGAGGCATTAGCCACACAGAGTATTAAAAATGATAAATAGGTTGGGGTTTGATGCAACACCATAAGCAGTACATGATTGGCTTATTAATGTAATAAGTGCTCTTGACAAAGAGCATGTGAGATGCGTTTACTCTACTGCAGGTTGTTACGGATAAATTCAGGAACACCTCACCTGGAAAAAGAAAAGCACTGTATAATAACGCCCTCTTGTGGAAATTTACAAATTTGTCACATTTTCTTCATTTTCTTCTTTTCTTTGCAATTCCCTTATCTCTCCTGAAAACCTTTGTAAGTCTGAAAAAATGGAGTTATGTGGAATCACTGAACGTAACAATTAAAATTAATTCATGTGGTTTTCTTCTGAAACTTTTTACTGTGGTTTTGTATCTAAATTTGTATGTAATGTTTTACTTTGTTATATTAAAAAACACCAAGTGTCTTAAAACGTAACAGATTGCCATAGTTTTCACAACAAATTGTAAATGTCCTTGTTCAAGATGTGGCCTCAGACAAAGCTGAATTATTGTTATTATTAGTAGTAGTAGTATTGGTATTATTTTATCATGATGTCACTGATATCGCGGTTTGCTGATATTAAATATTTATTAAATTTCTCTGTTTTCATTTTAATAACTATTTACAGATGATATATATTTTAATTGCCATGTTAAACATTTGCACAGACAGATGTTAATTCAGTAAGCACCTGCATTATAAATGAACCCAGACTCTTGCACGGGAAGTAATTCACTGAAAGTTGTCAGCTAAGTTACAGCTAATATTGAGCTGTCTTCTGCCTGATATGCTTTTACATAAATGCCAAAAAAATGTAGCATGGCCTTTAAGAATACAATTTCTTAACTGAAAGTTGTTGTTTCAAGTCCCAGGAGAGGACAGGACAGGACTTAAGTGACTTAAGCTCAATTGCTTCCAGAAAAAATAAGCACCATCCAATCCAGGGTGCCCCCAGTCACACTAACCATGTAAAATGATTTGAAAATGAATCAAAGATGAGTGGAAACAATATGACCACAAAATTAACAAAAAAAAAGTTAAACAATAAAACATTTATTCCAGAGAGACACAAATTCACAAATTCTGAAGCACAATAAGCCTAGCTGACAGAAAAACTAAATTACATGAAGGAAGCATTGATCAAGTGAGAAAATTTACACAAATTAAAATACATGTGTTGCTCTTGTTTTCCCAACAGATGGCGCCAAATCGTTTTGGAGTCAGGCAGGAATAACTGCATTATAATTACAGGCTTGAAATTAGATTTCAAATTGGTAAATGTGCATTTCTGAGTGCTGTATTGGCTACATTTTAACGGCAACTGTATATATTCCAATAAATATTAATACATTTAGGCTTTTTTGATTTCTGCACTTCTTTAACTGGCTTCAACTTTTATAACTTTTTATAACAATTCAGTATGACCTAGGGGTTTAGCTATAGAAAAGTATTGAAAGTTTTATATAGTTTTACAGAAGGTAATTGCATAACCAATCCTACTACAGTCAACTGTCTCATATTTTATATGTTTGTCTGTGGTGTTTTCTGTTCTTGTTGCTTGTATTATTTGTTGTCACCTGCTGTACGTGTTGTTCTATTTACATTTGTTTAGCAGATGCTTTTGTCCAATGAGGAAAGCTTGTGGTCAGATAGCAGCATTAGCCGGCATGCCATGTCTCTGGAGCCGTTGGGTTTTATGGGCCTTGTGCAAGGGTCCAATAGTCATGTGATTACTGTGTCAGCTGTGGGATTTAGACAACTAACCCACAAGTACCCACAATGTCATTGTGGTCTGCAGGAATTATGCAAATAAGAATTTTACTGTATTACATACACATTATAATAAAAGAACACTGAACCTTGAGAAGTCTGGTTCTCCAAATCTCCAGAGATAAGTTTGTAACAGACATGCATAGGTAAAGTGTGGGTTTCCACAATTAATCATTGCATTTGAATTGTGTCTTCATCAGCTGTTGGAACTGTCATGACTAATAAGACAAATACACATTCTCTCTGCTTTTCTATCTCTTCTCTCTGTCCATTCCCCTTCTTTTTTCAGACACTGCCCCCCATACACATTAAAGCTTTTAAAACTTCACTTGCTGTGCCGGTTGATACCTTTATTGAGCCCCATATATCTGGCCTAAGGTCTAAGTACACTGCAGTGACGCTAAGTGAACACAAACAGACAGAATTGGGAGACAATAAAATGTATCAGTGGATCTGGCATAAGCAAACAAACTGAGAGATCCAGCGACAAACACAGAAATTGAGTGCTCATTGTGGTTGACACCTTTTTTATATAAACTGCACCTCTCACAAGGGACACTGGCTTTTCTTTCTGGAATGCACAGTCAGCGATAAACACCAGAAATGATCCTAAAGTATACCTTTCTCTCCAAGCAGACATCTGACATCACTCGCCCAGCTAGAGGACCTCCTGTCATCTGTTTTACCTTGTGCTCATGAAGTAACACTACTCTTTTTCTTTAGTGTGTTATCTACACTTAAGACACAGTACTTTTCCCCCATTAGCCATATGGTATTGCCTTTACAAATTGGTCTGGAGTTATTCAGTTTTGCCCAAAGGCAGATGGATCAGTGTTGTTACGTGGGACCTTGCAGTCTCATTTTGAAGATAATATCCCCAAAGCATGTAACCACTGAAATGCAGGAGCCACCATCTCTAGATTCCTTATTCATTCATAAATTTTAACCATGTTACTCTGAAATGATTGCCTGTTATTCTTAATACAGTCATCATTTTATACCGCAATCTGTAGTTCAAGTAAACAATTTTAAGTTGTAAAATATATTAGAGTGAGCTGATTAAAACGTTAACGAAATACTTTGTACAGCATACAGTGTAGCCAACCCATAAAACGTCACAATAAATTGAAAAGATCTGAAGTAACGGTGACACATCGGTGTTGTTGGCATCGGAAGCCATCAATGGGTCCGGTTGTTGCTTTTGGCGCTCTATCACGGCATTCTTGCCTAATGATCTCTGATTGAACTGTAATCAAATTTAAGTAGTGCAATGTACCACTCTAGACAAAATAATAACCCCTTTTGATTAATTATAGATAAATCACATTGATATTTAGGCTACGCGATGTATTCACCAAAAAGCATAGTACACTCTCAGTATCAGTTACCTGTGCATTATCCAGACGGGTTTATCTGAACTACTGCATGCACATTAATGATTAAGCAATATGCATTGTGTTATAATTATTATTATGAATTAGGTGCTCCAACTGTTAGGGACCGTCTGTCCTTCGGGCTTCCACAGTATAGCATTGATAATTATAGGATAATCACTGTAAGGAGTGTGGCGAGAGCAGGAAGACTATAGATCAATATCCGTCACAAAAGGGAAAGGGCGAATACAAGTGAAGCGAAGAAGCGCCGCCGAGAAATTTGATCACAAAATACCTCCTGGCTGTCTTAGGAAATTTAATTAAATTGCTGGAGAGCTGTTCTCGAGAGGGCCGGTGCGAGGGCACATCTGGATTCAATGTGTTGCAGCTTTGATTTTTCTTCTCTCTGTTCCGGAAATAACTCTAAACGGGGATTTTCTCTCTTTTTGTACTAAAAGAGGCTTCCTTTGAGATCTCTATGCTTGACAATAGCCAAAGTTAAAGCCAAAAACAACCAGAACACATAGTACCGACAACCAAAGTAATATTTTGCCGTTATTATTGAGTGTTTCAGCTCCTCCGAACATTTTGCTGTCTCTTACGAAGGTGTTTCTAATTTTATAATGGATCACCAAACTGCTGGGTTTTCCTGTTAAAGTGGGAAATTCATTTGAAAATAGTAAAATAGTTTAAAAAATAAACCGGTTAACCGGACCTAAGGTTCATTGTTGCGTTTGAACGGTTTATGAAATAACCATAATATTCTTCCTTAGGCGAGTGTTGTCTTGATATCGAACCAACATGATACACTTAATTCCAAAAGAACCGCAAACAGGCTGGAATAGTGCCAAGGCTGCCTTAAGAAATGTGTTCGGCTAAATTAACATAATAGACGCCCAAGTATAGTCCTCGAGTAAATTGAATCCATACTCCATACTCAGTTCACCATTGCATTATTGCGGTGAGTTGGACAGCTTGTCAGGTCACCTCATATCTCAGGTGTCATTCAGTTCCGAATTGGGTGTAGGAACATACCCATTGAAAACTCGTATGCGACCCCGAGTCACCTCGACATCCATGCATTATATAATCACATGAAGTTGGATTAAAAGCAAGACACCGTTTATATAGGCTACAGAGAAAAAGATGGCCTTTAATGACAGTCAGCAAAGCTCAGGCTAATGTTTTGGGATACTGCAAAAAAAAAAAAAAGTTATTGATAAAGGCTAAAATACTTATGCAAATGAACAGTAACGTACGTGGTCCTAAATGTTTGGAACTATTGCAAAACACACAACCCAGAGGAGAGGTATCGCCACACAAAAGGGAAATAAATCAACTGTACAATTTAGAGGATATGTAATTGCAAATTATCCAAAATACATGGAGCATTCAAATTATATAATCCATAATGAAAAAAATATATATTGAAATTTACGTCAGAAATATGTAGGCCAGCCGTACTGTGATACATTTACATTTCTTTAAATACTTTTAGATGTTCCATATGTATCGTATTATAATTTACATATTTTAATGCAGTTGTAATATATTTTCTAAATGATTCATATCCATCTGGAGTAATCGAACGCGTATATACAAACTGAGAAGAATCTGTCAATATAATAAAAATATTAAATGCCCTACAAAATATAACTGATATAACTGACAAAACTGTTTCAAACTATGAGGTCAAAAAAACAAACATTTAGTATAAATCCATGTAACGAAAAGACATATTTGAAAGACAAAAAATGTGCCAAGAATATTGCTGTCATAAAGTGGAAAAAATGACTTACGGTATTGTTAAAAACGTGAGAACTTCCGTTTATGCTTATGACCAGAGAAATGCTATGGAACGTTTACACTAATGGTGATGATGACGGGAAGATCTACTGTTTTACGTCCCCAATGCTCGAAGAGCCTACATTTGAAGGAAATGGTTATGGCTTCAAATTTGAATTACACAGCTGTTGTATCCAGCGTGCGGGCGAACGGGGAAGCAGGCGAGAGAACCGTAGATAAGGGTAAACGGGGTTTATTAGCAGGGACACGAACAACACGGTAACTAATATCAATGACAGATCTGGGGAATACTGACTCAGACGCGGACTAAATACACAGGACAGGCTGAACATAACAGGCAACAGGTGATTACAATCGGGAATTAACACGAGGTAAGGAGGGGGCCGTGGCACACAGGAGGATCGGACGAGCAGGGTGTGACACCAGCAACGTCCCAAAATAAAATCACAGTGCAGTCAGTTAATGGAAATGTCCGTTGAATTTTTATGATATGAAAGAATGTGTTTAAGAGGGAGTAGGCCTACTTCTCGATAACAAATGACGTCGTCACACTTCTGTTTTTAGTGTTTTTAATCTACATGCACAAGTTTAAAATAGAACCGACAGAGCCACTGATAAAGTTCGGTTGGTTCCAGGAGTCACTTATAACATATAACTGCTTAAATGAACACAGGAAATTTGTAGGCCCTGTTTGACATATGGCGTGACGTAGCCTATTTGAGCAAGTGCATGCTTTGTAATTTCCTAGTAGCCTATGCTATTTATTTTTTCGATCAGTGTAACATTACGGGCAAAAACCCAGGGCCATATCTGTTTATTTGAAAGCTTTTATTGGTTATAGGACTTCAATATCGGTGATCTTCGTCTTTTATTTATAATAGGCTACTTTGTTTCCATATAAATACACGCCATTCGTTTTGGATATATAGTTATTTTTTCGTTTTAGCATTTTGTAACAAAACAGGCCAGGAGTGGTGAGTCGTAGTGATTCAATGAAAGTTGATATCAACAATATCGTAGTGTACCCTAATAATGAAACTATTTTCGGATTCTGTCAGATGACATACCCAAAGGTGCCTTACTTGTTATCAATAATACAAATTAAGAGAATCTTTCAACTGAAAGTTTTATTATTATGTAGCACTTAGATGTGACCATATATATTTTAGGCCTAAATGTCCAATGTCGGATGCTGGTCATCGACGCGGGGGGGCTGGGGACAGAGGCTGCACGAGGCTGGGGTACAGCCTTGACAGGATGCCAGTCCGTCACACACACACACAAATTAAATTTTCATCCATCCATCCATTGTCCAACCCGCTTATCCTACTGGGTCGCGGGGGGTCCGGAGCCTATCCCGGAAGCCAAATTAAATATTGTGCCTTGTAAATACTAAGTAAGATGCGTACAGTGCAATGTTCTGAACAAAATCCCATACATATCACAAGTTAAAATGCACTGAGTCCCAAAGAATCCTCGTAAATCTTCGGGTTTACGGCGTGAGTTAGTGGGTTAGTTTGATTACAGTGAACTCCGAGAGTATCCTGGGGCAAAGCACCAGCCTAATGACTTTGATAAGAGTTGTGATCTTCGGGAATTCACCTGAGGTAAAAGCATATTAAAACTCGGTATAAGTCTACGGTTTCTGTATTTATGTGAGTCAAATAAAATTTCTATTTAAAATATCTACAGTGCCGCTTTGGAATTACATCTGAGTCACACATCCCGGTCTCAGATTGACTTCCTCATTTTCCTTTGCTGACAGTGACGCTGGAGACACAAAGTTGAGGCAAAAGAAAAGAGCATTTGACATCTTGTAGGGGAGGGGATAGCCGTTTAACTTACGGGGGTGTGGAAATGTTTTCTTTTTTTCCAACAAGAAGTCAAGCGGGAACCTTTGGAAAGAAGAAAGGAATTTTATTTTCGTAATGTTTGCATGTATCTCACATTTATTTCCATAGTTGTTAATACATAAGGGAACCTTACGGGAAATGCTACATTAAAAATTTGCTTTGTAGACCCTCACTGATGGACGGTGGTTACTTGGTGGAAAATAACCTAGCGCCAGATCCCGTCAACAGGATGGACTCTATAGACGGCAATCAAAACAGGAAAAATTTCAGCGTGACCCATCTTCTGGACCTGGAGGAGGTGTCGGTGATGAGCTGCATGAAGGATCCAGCTGGGGGGATGAAGAGGGTAGGGAAGGGGATTCAGGAACAGTCCGGCGCGAGCAGCGGAAGCGAAGCAGCTCCTCAAGACAGTAAGTGAGTCTCGTTCAGCAAGAACTCGGGCTCAGTTGCCAGTACATTCACTGCTTATTCAGTTTATGTAAGAGGTTTCGGTGTGTTAAAGAAGAACATCAGAAACGACGTTAGTTCAGTGCTGCTTCAGTCGCAGATTCTTTTCAATCTCTTTACATTCAAAGGTACTAAAAATAATTTCTGATTATATTTGAATTTGAAATTTACCATTCGATTAATGTTTAGCTAATATTATTATGCTATTTGTTTTCTGAACTGCCTGAATGTTCTAGTGTTCTACAGCACGGCATTTTAGAGAACAAGTATGTTACTGACAACTAATCGATTGTGGAAAATCAATAGTGATAACTTGTCGAAACAATAAAACGCAAATGCTAAATATGAGTATACTTTGATTTTAGTTTATTATTAAATGCGTATATAATAATGGGGTATTAGTAATATTTGATAGTTATAATTTTTATAAGCAAACTCCTCAACCCTGTGGCCTACTGAGAAAGCGGATTTATAGGTTTAGGCCTATATCGAGGGATTACACAGTAATTGGAATATTATAAGTTAAATAAAACTCTGCTCCATTTCATATCGTTAGGACGCGCACACCATGCAACCTGTTTAGTTTAAGGCTTGTTTTAAATGTTTTTGGCATATTCTTTCATTTGAGTTGTAACTGCATGCTGTACAACTATACTGTCATATCGCGTACATTTTCAAGAAAACCTATGTAAACATTAATTTTTAATATTACGATGAACACGATAACTACAGAATACAAATGGAAAACAAAATGAACAGACGGATGTGTTAATATAAGTTGATTGGCATGATTTTTACCGATTTAGTATTTAATGGAATTTGACATGTCCTATTATTTTTGCACAGTACTTATGCATTGTTTTGTACACCATTCTGTTGTATTCAAATGAATGAACACCTGTTATTATTTATTAGAATGACCATTATTTAAATTCCAAGGCTTCAGTGATAGCATTTTTCTGAATATACATTTAGACTAACAAAACGAACTTTGTCCCACTTTGTCTAGGATTGTCTTGCAAAAAAAAATGTTTTTCCCAAGTGGGAATAATTGTGTGATTTTTTTTCGTTGAATATCATCCCGTATTTTTTTTCCTTTTTTGCGTTGTTTGTTAAGAAGTTGAGGCTTCCGGTTACAAATATCACCACTTAATTGTTCGGACAATTCTCATTTGCTGATGGTTAGAAGGCATGCATTTATTAAGTCGATATTTTACTCTTAAACGCGTACCAGTTGGCCCTATTTGGTGTAGATTCACTTTTGTAAACTGACCTACTTCTTAAAATATAACATTGACACATAGGTTCGTTTATGTAGGTCTCCTTAAGAACAGTGACGATATAAGCCTACACGGTAACGACATACAACAGTAAAACGGTCGTTTCAGCGATGTTACTTAGCATGCTGACTATTCATGTAGCGGATGCTCCTGACGTAAACATCATGCTGTACATCTACAGGTTATGCTTTCATTAGATACCAAATGAACAAGGCTCATAAGGAATCTTAAGGGAATAATTTCCTACCTATTTATACTGACAGAACTCACCTAGAACAAACCGCAGTGTCTTAGGTTGGAAGACATATAGGCCTACTGTATATTATGATTCAAATTATGTATAGCCTATGCATAACTTTTCGGATTTGCTGTAGAGTATTTAGTTACATTTTGTATGCAAACCTCCATAACATAAATTTACTTCTTACTTTAATTACATTCAATTTACTCCTATTTAGATTTATTAGCTAATTAACCCCAAACAATGTGGATTCTATTGGAAAGCACATTTTTTTGACAATATGGAAATCTAAGTGGGTTTTGTTCAAAATATATAAATGTATACCATCTTTTTCAAATCTTTCACAAATGTTTTCTGCACCACAGTTACTAATGTAACGCAATTTTGAAACATGTTCCTCTTTTTTAAGTGTTCACATTTTCATTCATGGCTGGTTTAGAATTACAAAATTCTCTTCAACATGGACTATTGCTTAAGTTAATATGGTGCCACTTAACCACAAAGCAAACAGCACATGAAACATATTTATGTCAGACTTTAAAGACTAAAACTAAGAACACTATAGACACAGATTTTATATCTGAAATCCTTACTAATTTGTTTCTAAAAGCCAAAAAACTAATTTGTAATATCATAATAAATGTAATTTAGTAAAAGCCTTGTTGTCAAGGCTGCTATGCTCAAAACTTCCTGATTTGAAATGCCTGATCAGAAAACCTTTGGAATACCAAAAATCTTTTTAGATATATTATACTGCATGCTTTGTGCATCATGTATATTTATTGAAGAGGATCTTTATTGAAATTCACTCCCCAACTGCTTTTAGATAAATCTCTATCATTAACAAATATGTTCTCTCTGTGTCACATGGATTTCCTCTAGATATTCCATCTTCCTTGCACAGTCCAAAGACAAACATTTACGCTAATTGCCATTTATGAATTGCCTGTAGCGTATGATTGCATGCTGTGCCCTGTGTTGGACTAGCGTGCTGCCCTGGCCGTACCCCAGCCTGAGACAGGCTCCAGGCCCCCAGCAACACTGACCGGCAAAAGCATATATATAAGATCAGAATGCATAATTAAAAAAAAATAGTTTATGCACCATATTGCAGTTGCAGAACTGTCCTTGGCAGCTACAGTAGTGTTGTGGGAGGAAAACATCACAATGTCATAAAATATATAAAAAAAAAACATTAAAGAGAGAAAGAGGAAGGGAGAGGAGCAGAAAGAATGAATGGCTGGAGAGTCTGTTGAAAACTTTATGCTTTATAAAGAAAACAGACATAAGCATAAATATTTTATTGTGCAAACTGTTAAATGATTAAATGCATTATGAGCCCATGCTGCTGTTACATTTAATCAGACATTACAATATTACATTATAAAAATGCATTAAATAAAATAAATCTGACTGCATGCCTTATATTCATAAATATATTCATATATCTATATCCTAACTTATATTCCTTTATATTCAATGCAAGTCTTCTTATTCAGTGTAACAGTAATGTTCCATAAATTTAACCAACAACGAAATGAGAATAGTTGCAGTTTAAAACCCGTATAGGGATAACCTTTACATAAGGAAGAGGGCAATGCTTAAATGGCACAAATTTAAAACTTAAACCTCATAATGCAATTTCACGTGCCAAACCCTTGCAACACTTTGTAAACCAAGACAAACTATTGAGCATGCCTTAGTAAATCATTAAACCATTTCAAACTGTATCAATTGCAGTTGCATCATTTCCAATTCCTCCTCCAAACACAGCCCTTGCAGGGTTACAACCAATGTTATTTAAACTCAGAACAAACCCTTACTTTTTTCCGTTAAATATTAGTTGTGAATAGTAAACAATAGGGAAACAGAGAACGCTGAAAAACACAACTGCCTGTTGTTACAGCCTTTTCCATACTTGTACCCTGGTTCTTAAAGGTCATGCCTCCACTAACATCAAAAATGTAACCCTCAGTGGAGAAGCTTGATTATCCCCATTGAGAGCTGAAAGCCAGCATTTCCTTGCCCGTGCCGACCCTGCAGTAATTCAGTAGGAGTGCTGAAAGCTGCATTAGTTTAGGGTGAAAGGTTACCAAAGTTTTGTGCTGTATATAATAAATCCTTATCAAATACTTTTCCCAGTAGTTACTGGATTCTGGCCTAGCATGTGATTGATCAAGAATTGTATTAAAATGTATTCATGAGGACTACTGAAAAAAACTGTGCACTCTTTCAGTAAAAAATGATAAATCATTTAAATCATGTAAATCATGACTATAGCAAGTAGTTAATGCATTCAGCAATGTTGCCAATTAACTGGTTTACTGACAGCCTCTCCTGTATTGTGCTCTACTTCTTGGTGACCATGATCTTCATCCACATTTTACAATACTTCAGTAGCTATCCAAGCTTTAGTGACTGGCCATTAGAGTAGATAGTTTATTATTTAATTCCCACTTGGGATAAAATCTTTTACTTTTGACTATCTGAGAAATTTCATAAACTGAAAGTGAAAGCTATCCATTTCCTTATTAGTGTCATAGAGTGGTGTAGCCATGCGTGCAAATCTTGTTTTAAAAAATTAAAATGTTAAACAGGAAATAAAGTGCAGAATTAAATGACAGCATGCCAGATTCCTCAGTACAGAGGCCTCATTAATGTTATAATGTCATTAATGTAATCTTATGCTGTTGACACCCAGTGTCAAAGACTATTAAACATTCCAGATCTGTCTTTCATTAGGAGATTTATTAATTAAGTTTCACTGGGACTGGGGAAATGGGAACTCAGGATGGATGGATGGATACGTGCATCACAAGTGAAATTTAAATCCTGGTAAATAGCATACTACAGGAGAATATAGACATGAATTTTACAGTTATTACATTGTCCTTAAAATGTAATAAAATTTGAATAGTTCTGAAGCAAAATTAACAAATCATAGTTTTCATCAGTTGTGAAATCAAGTTGTGAAATTACTGCTGAAGTTTTATTTGTGGGACATGAAAAACTATGTGCACAATATATAATGGTGAAAATTCTTAAAGATATTCTTGAATGACAGTCATAGGAATAATTAGGTCCATGCTTTTTCCTACAAATTGCTTTCCTTACTGTTTTATCGCTTAGTAAATAATATACAATTTTAGGGTTTCTCAACTGGTTTAATGTCAGGATAATTTCTTTCTTTAAACCGTGCACTACGTAACCCACTGAAAATCATCTCACGATCCACCAGTCGAGAAATACTGTCCTAGGGGGACTGCTGTCAACATGGGAGTCATGTACCTAAGTCTCTCTCTCTCTCTCTCTCTCTCTCTCTCTCTCTCACTCACTCACTCACGCACTCTCTCTCTCACACACACACACTTTTTTTTTCAACATTTCAGTGCAGTTGGTCAGTTGGCCAAGTATCTAAAAATCTCAGTTTTCTTTCACTATT